CCATTTTCCCTGGCGTATGGACAGCTCATCTTGTACAAAACTGAGTATCTCCCTCGACGATTAGTCTTGGCAGTGTAATAAGTGAACCAGAAAAAAATATATATAAAATAAAAGCCACAATCTGCCAATAGATCTGCTTGGTCAGGTAGCAATTAAAGTCCCGTCGAAAACTAGTGCAGAGAACCGTGCCGACTCCCTCTGCCAAAGGAGTGAACGAGGAAGTCAGATCGGGCACGCACAGACGAGGAAAAAAAAGAAGGGGCTTAATCCAGACGAAGGAGGAGCGCGGAAGGCACGTGTCTCTCCGCGAACGTCTTACTGTGAACTGATCTCGCCTTGCCTGCAGGACAGACAGCCGTGTAGCGCTAACGTAGCACCTCCTGGGCCTCCTCCTCCTCCTCCTCCCTCTGCTCCTGCTCCTCCTCCTCCCCCTCCCGTCCTCCCCCTCCCCCGCCCCCATGGTCACTCCCTCCCCCTACCCCCCCACTCCCAGTTCTCGCCCTCGCCTACCTGACTAGACCTAGCGTGTTCGTATTGGCTGTCGAGGCGGTGGTAGACATGGATGCCGGGGGTTCAGTTTCATCTTGGTTTTATTACTTTTACTGGTGATTTTTTCTCCCTCGGACGTCGATCACTTGAGGCAAAGAGCTGCGGTTGTGGTGGAATCCCAATACTTTGGATATTATCGTAAAATCCGCACTGTGATTGGTGGAGGCAGTAGAGTAATCAGGCTGCGGTAAAACTCCGGGTTACAAACGGCGACCGAGGAATGCCCCGACACCGTCTGGCGTAGAGGTCAGATTTGCATGTTTAGGCAGGCAGGCCGGAACGCAGTTCAAACCGAAGAACTACAACTTCATCATAACTCTTTCTTGCCAAGTTGTATGCACTTACGACGTCATTTGCGCTGAAGACGGACTTATCTTATAAACTGTCGCAAATAACAACAGACGCATTCTCTTGACAAGAGACCAGATCAACAGATTTTTTTTTACACATTTCAGGTCAAGAGACACAACGGAGTGGGGTTATTTTTTGTTTTGTTTTTTGTTGTTTTATTGTTTTTAGTTTTTTTTTTGTATTTACGCAGTAGAAACTGGTTTAAGTCCTGAGCTGAAATTTCTTAATTTATTTATGCAACTGGGTCAGTCCTGGGCTGATATTCTTAAATTTGTTAACTTAACAAACAACAACTTAAAACTACTGATAGACCATCAGATATAGACATTAAACGTACAATAGATAATATCAGACATGTAAAATACATGCTTCATTCTAGGAAATATTCATTCTTAGTTCCACATATCTCATTATGGACAGAGCATAATGATATTTATGTAGTTAATCTATATACATATAATACATTAGAAATAAACCCACAATTGACTCCAAACAGTACCCCATTCCCTTAAGAAACAATAACAAAGAAACGTTCGCCAATAGCAATACAGATAACATCAAATAATAGGAAAACAAATCTCAGTTCACATTTCTAACCAAACGTAATGCATATTGAATAACGCCATTCTGAATAATACGAATTCCTTGATCAATATGCTAATAACTCTTATTACCAAATTCCTAAAGGCGCGGATAGCCAAGCAGATAGTGTAAAAAAAAACTGGTTATATCCTGCTATAAATTTGATGTGATGAAGGCCTACATTCTCTAACTCCAAACGCCCAGTAATTCTTATATCGAAATTAGAGCCTCATTTCAGGTAACTATTTCGCGTAATTAGCTAAAATTCGCCCCGTTATTTGCATACATTGCCTTAGCCTTGCCATTACTCTAGATCACTGACCTTATTATAACTTTCCTTCTGTATATCTACTCAAAAACACATTAATATAAGTCAACTTTCCCGAGATCGCCACTGTAGCTAATTCACTCACATCATTATTCGTTTTTTTTATATTTCATTGTGGCGTTTATGTACGTTTATGTAACCTAGACGAAAATAATGTAGATTTTTTTGCTAGTCAGGGGCACACGAACATGCCCTGGCTATATCTCTCGTGAAGACTTGCCACATACGTTCGTGACTGACATGTAACGCTGACGACGTGAATGAGAAATCATCAGCAAGTCATCTGGGTATTTTCCATGTAAATTATACATAGAAATAGGGTTTCCTGATTTTGAAGCCCACAACCAGATCTTTCGACAGGATGAATTGCATGAATTATAATTGTTTTTTTTCTTTCTTTCTATCTTCCTTCCTTTCCTTCTTTCTTTCTTTCTTTCTCTCTGTCTTTCTATCTTTCTTTCTTTCTTTCTCTCTGTCTTTCTTTCTTTCTATCTTTCTTTTTTTCTCTTTCTTTCTATATTTCTTTTGTCTCTTTTTTTTCTATCTTTCCTTTTTTCTTTCAGTTTCTTTCTCTCATTCATTAATTCATTTAACCCCGCGTCTTACACACGGCAAGGAAAAAAATAACATTTTCGAGAGGATTTAAAAAAAAATAAGGAAACAAATATAATAGCATTCAGGTCAAAGGTA